GAGCCCTGACACAGAAGCAGTAGCTGAGAATAGGGGGCTGGGGTAGGAGGGAGGCAGAAACCAGAGGAATAAGCATATTCCCTGTGGTCTTAGTGAAAGGTCGCCCCAGGCCTGACACACCCCCGCACGGGGCACAGCCCGGCTCCTGCTCTTCTCACAACCCCCGCAGAGAGCGGGTCCCGGCCTCGGACGCGTTCATCTGCGCGTTACAGTTCTCCACCGGACTTCGGCAAATATCGAAATGGATTACACACACAAATCAGAACCTCAGAACCCTTAGCTTCTGTCATTTGGACAGATGTCCTCCCCACTCACTATGAGGAAGTAGAGGGGACTGGACTTCCCCTTAGCAATTCCAGAGAAAAGAATCAGTGGGGCAGAACTGAAGTCTCCCCACCAAATGTGGACAGCAGGCTGTGCGTGTCAGGACCTGGGCAGAGGCGCACACACCTGCCAGTACAGGCAAACCCCCAGCCCACTGCACCTGCAGAGGTTAGTAAATTACTATCTAGCACGCTGCCCAAACTCTGACACAAATTATGAAACCAAAAAGGGGGAAGTTCATTTTAAAGAAGTGAGATGTGTGTCTGAATCCTAATCACAGCACTTGATACAACTCCTCATCACAGAACAGAGGTATGGCAGGGGTTCCTACGATGCAATCAAGTAATGGTTATTAGATTGTTATTAACAATGACACTTTCGGAAAATACTTCTATGGTGCTTTATAATTCTCAAAGTGTCCCTGCCTCCTTACAGAAGAAAGGGGCAAGTAATTTACATCGATTTAATAAGTAAGGGCACTAAGGCACAAAGCTTGGAGCCACCTGCTCAAGGTCACATAGCTGAGTCAACACTGCAGCTCAGGCACAAATTCCCAAGGCATATAAAGTGACTCCACTGTCAAGAAAACCCGGGTAAACAGAGACAACGTCATCATTCGATTACATATACATGCCCACCCTGAAACACACGTGCACACAAATAGGCCGGACTTTAAAAACTAATGCTAAACATTACAGAAGGATCTGTCCTCTCTGTTATCCTTTCTTCCAGAGTATTAAGAAAAGGTGACTAGTCTGAACAACAGGATAAAAATCTAAGTTTTTTGCCTTACTCATAAAACAGCATATTAACTACAAAGCAACAACTCACTCACATCTTTCCAAAGTTGAGTCCATATCTAAAATAACTACAGCTAAGCTAAACAGGGCCAGGCGGACATTCCTTCCAAAGATGTATGTTCCTGGAGCCTCCAGGTCGCTCAGCCCTGAGCACATGTCGCCCTCTAGTGGCACATCCGTCCCTGCACCCGGGTCGCTCATGCAGAGGAAGCTTACAGCAACATTATCAAAACGTCCCAGAGTATTTTTGTTTTTAGTAAAAACTCTCAATACGGGCGGCACCTGTGGCTCAAAGGAGTGGGGCGCCAGCCCCATATGCC